GCATGCTATACAGTCAATAATGACAATGTAGCTTTTCAGGATGCTATTAAAAGAAAAAAATCAAGATGAAAGCTACTTCTGTTTTCTCTTCTTTTTTAAAAAAATGAGCTGTAATTGACATATAACATTATATTAGTTTCAGGTATACAACATAATGATTTGATATTTGAAAGTCATTTTAAAAGAAAAAAATTGAATACTCTAGTTGAAAACACCATCGACTACTGAATAAATATGCAAAATCCAAACAAAATATTAGCAAACCAAATTCAGACATATATGAAAAGGATCAAGTAGAGTTTATTCCAGAGTGCAAGTCTGGCTTAATTTGTAAACATCAATTAATATAATTCACCATATTAACAGAAAAGAGGAGAAAAATCTCAACAGATTCAGAAAAAGCATTTGAGAAAAGTCAACATCCATAGGGGCGCCTGGGTGGCTCAGTCTGCTAAGCATGTAACTACTGATTTTGGCTCAGGTCATGACCTCATGGTTCCTGAGATCCCTGCCACGCCAGGCATGGAGCCTGCTTGGGATTCTCTCTCCCTCTCTCTAAGCCTATTATGTGCTCTCTCTCAAAATAAATAAATAGACATTTAAATATATAGATTTTAAAAATCCTACATTAAACATCATTTTTAATAGTGAAAATTTTTCCTTTGAGACCAGGAAGGGAAAAAAAGAAACCTACTAGCACCACTTCTGTTCAACAATGTATTAGAGATCCCAGCCAATAGATGAAAAGGGGAAGAAAAAAGAAATAAAATTAAAAGATATAAGGTTTAGGAAGTATCGGAAAGAAAGAAAAGTGTCAGTATTCACAGACAACATGACTGTTTGTTAAGAAAATCCAAAATAAAAGTTAGAAAATGAAAACTTTAGAGGCGCTTGGGTGGTTCCTTCGGTTAAGTGCCCGACTTTGGCTCAGGTCATGATCTCGTGGTCCATGAGTTTGAGCCCCACATTGGGCTCTGTGCTGACAGGTCAGAGCCTAGAGCCTGCTTCGGATTCTGTGTCTCCCTCTTTCTCTGCCCCTCCCCTGCTCATACTCTGTCTCTGTCTCTCCCTCTCTCAAAAATAAACAAACATTTAAAAAAATGAAAACTTTAAAAATTATACCACTTATAATATCATCAAACACACCAAATATCCAGGAATAAGTCCACTGAAGGATGTGTAAGACTCACTACTCAGAAGATAGTTTTTTAACTTTTATTTTAAACTTAGGGATATATCATGTCCGCAGATTGGAGGACTCAAAACTATAAAGATGTCAATTCTTCACAAACTGATTCATAGATACAATGAAATTCCAAGCGAAATAAATCCTGCAGGACTTTTGTGGACACTTCCAGTTTGATTCTAACATGCATGTGGAAAAGCAAGGGGCCAAGAAACTCTTGAAGAACAAAGTGGAGAAAGGATCACACTCTGGAATATATATTGTGGTATATTCATAAAACCGAATACTAGATGGCAATAAAACAAGAAGGAAACAAAACCCCACAGCTTCAACACAACAACAACAACAACACAACAACACAAACGGATCTCTGGGGGCTTATGCTGAACAAGAGAAGCCACAAAGAAAGGAAATGATACTAAATGGTTCCGTTTATATACAGTTCAAGACCATGGAATATTAATCTCCGATGTTAGCAAGCAGGCGAGTAGTTACTTTGAGGAGGAAGGAACAAGAAGTGATTAGGAGGAAGCATGAGGTTGGCTTTCAGGAGCTGGGAATGTTCTATATATCTGTGTGTTGGTTATACTGCATGCTTACTTCACAATATATCAGTGTGCTATATGCTTACAATCTTTTGTGCTTTTCTAGATGTATGTTGTTAAGTCGGACACAAAGGAAACTACACAATAACATGGAAGATAACAGATATAAAAATGATTATAGAGAATAGATTAGGTACAGAACTAGAAGAAGAGTCAATATACTTGTGACTGATGTTCCTGAAAAGTAAACATATCAAATGAAACTGAAAAGATTTTCAAAAGTCTGATAAATGAAAACGCTCCTGAAATAGTCTTAACCTATACATCTCAAGGACATACACTGTATAGGGAAATTCTGATTCATATGCTGGCGAAGTCATTAGACTTCCAAGGAAAACTTCAAGGATAAAGTATCAGATAGGCATGAAGACAGAGAAGGAATGAGGAAAATAATCAAAATTAGACTCAAGATTTCTACAGATTAAATGCCAGTAGAGAATGCAGCTAAACTCTAAATAACTGTGGTTAGTGAGCAGGACATAAATATATGAGTCACAATAATAATGCACCTGACACAGAACAGTGGTGAGGACACTGGGAGGAAGTGTCAGCGTCAGTGATGCTCTTATCACAGCAGGAGCCAAGGACAACACAGGGCTAGAGCTCAAGTGCAGTCCAGGAGAACATGATGACTCCAACCTCCTTTACTTTCACCTCAGTTTTATTTTCTTCTGCTCAAGTCAATTTAAGTTTAAAGCATTTAGATTCGTCACAGCATTTAGGGCACAATGCCATTTCTCCCCCCCCCCCCCATGCCTGTTTATCTATTTGTATGTCTAGAAGGATGTCTGGAATAATAGTCACCAAATATTAAGTTAATGAGGATGTTTCTGGACAGAATTTTTTTTTATGTACTTCTTTTTTTTTGTTTTTGTTTTTTGTATTGCTTCAATATTTTATGAAAAAAAATTCATTACCCCAAAACTGAGTAAATGAACTAATCACCTAGGAAAGACAAAATTTTTTTTTTCTGCCAAGTTGTCAAAACTAATTAAATCTAGCCTTTGCTTGCTTGATGGAATCAATAAATACAGAAAAGGACATGATTTGTCAAGAATATACCTTATTATTTTAAAACTATTAAAATAAAATAACTCTGCTATGGACTGTGTCTCCCCAAAATTTGTATGTTGAAAGCTAATCCCCACACCTGAAACTAATATAACACTGTATATTAGCTACACAGGGAATAAAAATAAAGAAAGCTAACCCTTAATGTAATGATATTAGGAGGTGGGGCCTCTGAGAGGTGATTAGGTATTGAAGGTAGAGCCCTCGTGAACGGGCATCCCCAGACACCTGGAGACTTCTTAGCCTCCAAAACTGTGAGAAATAAATTTCTGTTGTTTATAAGCCACCCAGTGTATCATATTGTATTTCAGCAGCCTCAACAGATTAAGACAAATTCTCATTCAAGTTCACAGACACCACAAAATTGCAGATTATTATCAATCAGGAATAAATTCAACTATAACTTAAATGACAAAGACTCCTAAGAATTCTTTCTAGATTTCATAAATAACATTAACAAAACTACTGTTCATATTTCAAATGGAAGTATCTGAATCATCTACTAAAAGAATTTAAATGCACAAAGTGCTTACTAATGGGAATTTACTTCATAATCACTCATGACACTCAGTAGTACCGCTAAGTAACAGTCACGCTAGCCAACATGGAAATAAAACCATTTGGATCCATAGCTCCTTTACAGTAAGACTGAGGGGTATCTAGCTTCTATACCTTCTTTACCAGTTTCACAATCTGGAGGAAAATAAGGAAGAAATCCCTCAAAGTAAAATAGAACATACTAGAAACATGGATAAAAGGGGAAAAAAACATTTTAAAATAAAACCAAGAAGGATCTCAATTTTTCAGAAGCTAGGATGAGAAAGGGTGCTATCAAATTTACATGTAGAAATGTTTTCCCTAATATTTAAAAATAGGAAAAGTACCAAAATGTTTCCAAATTTCCAAAAAGAGACATTTTTTAACTCAGGATTATTCTTTGGAACTTGAATCAATATCTTATTGATAGACTTAATTTTCACATCTTCCTGATGAATCATTTTCTTATTACCAGACTATTTCAATATGTACTGATTGGAATGTGTTCGGGCTATGTTTTGCTTTGTTTTCATCAAAGGAAGTAGAGACCATTTGTAACACATAAGAAATAGACAACCAGAGAATGCACAGCATAGGGTGGGGGAGGGGGGCACATTCCAGGGAACGGTAAACAATAAAAAGGCAAAAAAAGCAACTCATTACCTGCTGAGCTGTAGCATCCTGCTGGACATAAGCTACCTGCCCTGGGTCTGTAAACAGAGTCTAGGCAAAAAAACAAAACAAAACAAAAAACATATCAATAAATCTTTAGACAGCTTGCCTGCACAGGAAAAATTCTTGACAGGCTTTGTTCCCATGTAGCTAGTAATAATCCTTCATTAATAAAGAAGATAAAGATAGTAATTGTACTTTTAGCTAAAGCCTTTCATTCAGAGGGCTCCAAAGAGATTGTATAAGTTAACCATCTCAACTAGCTAACATACTGGACAATTTTACTCTTAAGCGAAATCTCTCTTGAGGTTGAATGTCAGCACTAATTAAAAGGGCATGTCACAGAAACGTAAAAGACATGGCATGAACAAGAGTGCATACGTTCACACATGACACTATACATCACAGGAGGAGACTCGTGATTAAGCGAAAATGGATAGAGACACAGACACACAGAAAACTAGTATATACACAAGGACATTTTTCAAACACAATGCATGCTCATTAGCAAAAAAGAACGAGAAGGAAAATAAGTTGAATTTAATGTTCCACAGATTCATCCCTGGATAAAGCCAGTAAAATCATAATTTTGAAAAGTTCTCATTATAAACACATAATAATTTGGGTCATGATACAACAAAGCTAACTAGGGAAGGAAAATCTTCAAAGTTATTTTAGCCAGGGCACCACAAAAAATCACCAATCCAGAAAAGTTTTCTTTCCTCTAATTTGTTCAAGCCTTTAGCAAACCTAGGGGAATAAGAACTGTAGTTGAGTTTTGATTCCAGAGGTACACATAGGAGAATTTCAGCCAGTTGTAAGATTTCTTAGACTTGGTATTTAAAACTTATCGTTAAGTCAGGGGGGCACCAGCCTGGCTCAGTCAGAAAAATAGGTGACTCTTGATCTCAGGGTTGTGAGTTCAAGCCCCAGCTTGGGTGTAGAGATTACTAAATTTAAATAAACTTAAAAAAATTATCATAAGTCAAACATCTAATTTTTCTAGTAAGTCAGACATTTGTACTTTTCTTCATAATCAGACATTTAGTAACATAGTAATAAACTAAAGTTGGGCTCTTTACATAAACTATATGACCTTATTTTAATATAGTTATGTGACTAAAACGCAGCAGAGGCATTCTGAAAGTACCATCTGACTATTTGGTCATTTCACCTTCATATAAATTTGAAAGGTATTAATTAGGTGGGCCCTATTTCTTCTTTAGAGTGACTAGAATCTCTTGATTAAATATTGGATGAGGGTAAATTTTTATTACCAGGATTCTACTATAAAAGTATGGAACTTTTTTGTAAATATATTTAGAAGTGCTCTGTGCATTCTAAAGTGGTAACATACAAACTAACAATTAAATATTTGTGGGGGTTTGGGGTTTTTTTTGTTTTTTTTTTTTTAAAGATTCTATTTTCAAGTAATCTCTATACCCATCGTGGGGCTCTAACTCACAATCCCAAGATCAAGAGTCACATGCTTTTCCAGCTAAGCCAGCCAGGTGCCCACCCGCGTATATATATGTGTCATGCATTTGGAAACTAACACCCCAAGTCACTGAGAAAAAAAAATAAAAGTAATTCTAATTGTGCAGCATTTACCTTTGCTTCCATCACAGTTCTACAAATCAGTAAATTAATAAATAGTAGTTAATAAGCTAGTAGGACTTTTTGCTTACACATTTAACTGAAATAGTCTGTATGGTTTTCACTGATCTGTCTTTGATTAAGCTATACGAAACTAAATGCCATTTTTGACCTGGTTCTTGATACAAAGAAAAGTAACAAGTTGAGAATCAATAGTGACTGGGACAAGAACTCATGGGAAGGCAGTGCTCTAACTCCTTATCACATTTAATTTAAATAAACAAAGCACATCTTCCTCTGCCAAGATAGTTATAAGCTCCTGAAGAGCACAAATCTTATCTGAAGCATATCATACATCACCACACCTAGCACAGTGACTGGCAGAGAATGAACACAGAAGTCACTGGTGAGTTAACCAATTAACAAACGAACTACAAACAATAATCCTTCACATGCCTGTGCAGCTTCCACAGGATGGATGTACACCAGCGTATGCTCAGGACCGTCCACTGAAGCGTAGGAGGCACCATCTGCCGTGTATACCACCTGCTGGGGTGGACGAACCTGGTCATCGGTGTAGACAATCTGAGCCACAGTTCCAGCGTCAGGAACAAAGTGCACCTGGGGCAAAAAGCAGCAAGTAGGTAGAAAGTGTCCTTGTAGAACAAAACCAATCTCACAAAGCTGTATGGCTGACCAAGCACAGTACACGATTGCATTTCTAAAACATCCCCAATGAAAGAAGAATTGATACACCTTCATCTACACTATTAGTGACTTGGAGACAGGATCCAATGACCTTGTTGTCAGATCGTTTACTGCTTTATATTAAGCAACTGATATAAATCTCTCTTTGCCTCGAATGTCCAATGCAGACATCTCTTTTGGGAGTCCTGAGGGGGCAGTTAGCTAAACCTGGAAATGTGACTGAAGATTCCTGGTTGTCGATATGACCAAAATACAAAATACAAATTATTCTGTAATATAAAAAAATGTCAACTCAACAGCCAATGGCTCTCAACACAGCATAAATATCATGCTTTATAACTAACAGTGCCTTTCGGGAGACACATTAACACAAGGTCACTTTCTTTCCTACATGTTTTTTCACAGTCCAAGTCTATATGGACACATGTCAGTGACCGTTTGCTAAATCAGTGAGTGTAACTGAACTCTTCCTTGCCAGAAAGGAAATTCTAATCAAGCACTTTCAAGGGGTTTTGGAAAACTATTGCAGTTATCACCAAGGTAAGTAATTTTCTATCTACCAAGAACTAAAGCAGAAACTGAATTCTATAAAATGCTTTCTGAGTAGTCAGCTTTGGAGGTTTGAATTCTTGAAGGCTGGAGCTTGGCACATAGCCTGATGCCTGATATTGAAGGTATGGAAGCAGATGGCCAAGTACACATTTTGGGAGAGAAATAATTTATGTGCTGATACTGAAGTTAGGTTGGGATCTTTACTCTTATATCATCTTGGCTTCAGACCTAACTTGTTTTCTTCCAGTGTTCTCCAGTGGAGAATAGTAGATTCCAAAGATGAAATAAGCAAATTTAATCCCCAGAAAGAAACCTGGGGACCAAATACAATCAAACCATCAGAGAAATAAAACAAACCTCCACTTCTATACTCAGTGATTAGTCCAGTTTCTACACAAATTTGATTGTCTATGAAGATATAATTTGTCTATTGGAAGAATTAAGCTTATAACATATTTGCAGTTTTAAGTGCTACATGATAATTTTGTGACTTTAGATTTGTTCATTAACATCAAAACTTGGTCTCCATCACTCAGCACTTTGCTAAATCAGAGTTCTTGGCTAGGAAAAGAATCAACTGAGAAGGGGGACTTCAATGAGGGGTGTTGAGCTCTACTATCTGGTTACCTACAAATGGGGACCCTGTTTCTGAATGGACTACATTTTTGTTTATAAACAAAATACACCAAAATGCATAGCTACATGAAAGTTGTCTTCAAAATGTTTTCTATGAGAAACAGCAGAGTTTTCTCAGTTATTCCGCTAGAAGCATCACTAGAACATTTTTTTGTTTGTTTGTTTTTAAGTATTGAAGATCAACTTTATTTATTGTAACATTTGTCATGCTACTTAAGCTAAATGAAATGTGTATATTTAAGGATCTCAATGTTAACTGCCTGATTTTGATTATAATACTAAGGTTATGTAATTTAACAAAACACTGAATTAAAATTGCATATTTATTACAATGCTTAAAAATCAAGTTTTATACTTTGGCCACGTATGGTTCCATATGACTGCTGACTGTTCCCAAAATTCAAATCCACACCAAAAAAGCAGACATTTGCCTTTGCTAAGAATATTCAAAAGAACATGCAGCTGGCTATGATCACAGTCCAAAAGGCAGTGATCATCCATTATGGCTACATTTTAGTAAGTGACTAACCTCCAAAGAGGTTGACTCAATGGGACCACTTTCAATTAGACCTTTACATTCTGAATTTGAAAGAAAAGAAAAAGCCACTCTACAGACATACTTTGTGCTTCATTACACGTGAAGAATCAAAACCCTATAGGAGATAACATAAAAGAAACACTACAGTTGGAGGCTTTCAGTGCCAATAACATAAAATAAAACAGTGAAACAAAGTATGACGATAAGTTGCAGAAATGGCAGAGAAGCCTGTGGGGGGGGGGGGGGGGGGGGTCACAGAGCTCCTCTAAATCATAGTGACTCACACTGATGGAGCATTCAAAGTGCTAAAACCCTCCTTATTCCTCCTGTGCAAGTCCTGTGTGCTGCTCCCTCCCAGCTACTCATCCCTACAGAGAAGCTGCAATTTCTGTAGCTGTCCGCAAACTGTACCCAGCTGAAAAACTGTTATCAGTACCAAGCTGGAAAGGCCACTCTTCACCTGTGCAGCATTCTCTTCATGTTCTGCAGATGTAGACCACACGTGTGAGCTGTCATCTTTGGAATCCATCCTTCCCCCTACTGGACAGCTCCACGTCCAGGGCACCTAGAACAGCACAGGGTGGGGGACAGTCATCTGTCCACCACGCGCGTGTTCATGAAGGACAGAAAGACCTCTCTGCAACGTGCCTGAAAAGAGAGAGAAAAGGAACCACGTCTTTAAATAGATAAATGCATTTTAGTAAATTGCAGTTTCAACCACAGAGAGAGAGAAAAAAGGAGCTTTGTAAAAGATAACACACCTGGACAAAAAGGTAAAAATGGAGAAATTATTTATAATGATAATACAATGTATTGCATGCTTGCTATGTTCTACACACTCATTAGATAGGTGTAACCCTCATTTAAAATACTGAAGGTCTGGGGGCGCCTGGGTGGCTCAGTTGGTTAAGTGTCCAACTTCAGCTCAGGTCATGATCTCACAGTCTGTGGGTTCAGGCCCCACGTCGGGCTCTGTGCTGACAGCTCAGAGCCTGGAGCCTGCTTCGGATTCTGTCTCCCTCTCTCTGCTCCTCCCCTGCTCGCTCTCGCTCTCTCTCTC